GGTTACTATAACATATAGCTCTAATACAACTGATTGTTCAGATATAAATTTGGCATTTTTGAGATTATGCGCTAAATATGTACGCAGAGCTTTTATTTACCTTTCAGCAAAAGCTGGAGCAATTTTTTGTTATAATTTGTTTAAAAAAACCTAAGGTAAAGTCGCCCTTGCTCATATGATTATCATGTGATAAGAAATACTTTTTCGCATTTTCTGACAAACGTATTATTTTGAGTTGTGACTCTTTTGAAGACGGTGTGCGATATAACGGTAAAACTGGCACATACATAAATATATGAAAGAATGCACTCAGGCGACGCCTCTAGCCATTGTGTGTCACAAATTTAAGTTATCGATGGAAATTTTTTCCCCCAAAGCCAAATCCTGGCTACGCCACTGTGTATGTATGTATTTATGGACATCAATGTTGCAAAGAGCATGCGTACCAGTGATCGGACTTAAAAAATTGTGTGGTAGAATCTGAAAAAAATGTGGTAGATTTCAAAAAAATACAAAAATTAAAAAATTCTGCAAGGTTTCACATAAATTGCAAACATTTTAATTAGACTCTAAAAAAAAATAATTTTAGTATAATTAAGTGCAAGATTGAAGTTGCTAAAAATTGCGTTGAGTTTTGGCAATTTTTTTCCTTGAACGTGTAAAGCAGTTCCCTCCATATCAAGATTTTTTTCCAACATATTTTGAACAGTTTTTCTTTTTATCACATCACGATGTAGCGAACAAATGTGGCACGTTCCAGAAACCGCTACTTGGGATTTGCCGATTTTGACAATTTTTAAGTAAAAGTAAACAACGCTTTAGGAACTTTAGATGCACTGAAATTTGCTAATACTTTCACAAAAATCGCCGTTTTTTAACATTTTCGCTATTAATTATTTTTATAAATCATATATTTTGCAATTTAACACAATAAAACCACGTTTCCTGTCGAAAAATTGAATGTTGAGAAAAGTGAATATTTTACAGTTTATTTTATAATCCCATTCGGCCTGTTGTTAAAGTTTAGTGTTGGACAATTTTTGCTTTTAAACTTAAGAAAATTATGTCGAGCAAAAATAAAACTACTCAAAAATGCGAATATGTGGTAGATTTCAGACCTTGTGTGGTAGATGCTCAAAAAAGTGGCAGATCTACCACAATGTGGTAGAAGTCCGATCACTGATGCGTACGAGTAGCTACATACATATGTTTGTATTTATGAATATATGTACATATGCCCCAGCAAGAACGACCTAACGCATTCTCCAATACACTTACAAAATTGTCAATAAAAACCAACACATTTGCATATTAGCGATATCCATATGCCATTCTTTGCGTTATATAATACGTTATTAATCGCATAATAATATTTGATTGAAAAGAGACCACTATATATAGGATAATATAATAGCGAATTCCGTATAAAAGAAAGAGAAAACTGCTCACACGTGAAACGATTATGCGTTAGATTTCTCCAGGAGCCCTATGTAAAATGATGGAAAGTTTTTGAATTTCTCACACAAACTTTTTGTAGGCGTATATAACGCATTAGTTAACAGATAGGGTTCTTACTGGGGCATGATTCAATAATAGAAAGGTTTTCTCATAAAACAGTCTTCTCGCTCCCACACATACAATCGGCTCCTTTACTTGCGCAGAAGGTTGCTCACTCTACAGTTTCTAGTTATATTAGTAGTAAAACCAAAAATTCTTCATACTAGGTATTCGTTAACATCAACTTCGTTTGCGTAATTTTCTGGAACAAGTCTAGAGTAGCGACCGTTTAGCTATAAAATAACCAAAAGTGCCGCATGATAGAACTTTTTACGCTGATTTCAACGATATTTTTATTTGGCGCAGGTAAAAAACAAAGAAGATAAAAGAGGTTTATTTGCTTTGTTTATTTATATTTTTTACTATCAGTTAATTCTTAAAACCCAAAAGTAGATCATGATAAAATATGTATATCGAATTAACCCATTCCTGCCTAATGGGTATTTAAATACCCAAGAAAGTGGTGTCACTAAATAAATTCTAGCTCGGGCTAGGAAAGAGATATCGAAGTTATATTTTTTTTTGATTGAAGAGGAAGAATGGGCCTTAAAAAATAAAATTATGTCAGTATATTGTTTTCGTTAAAAACTTTTTTTTTTTAAGCCAAAAATCGAGGTTTTTTTTTATCGGAAAATGCTTAGGAAAAGCGCTCCCAAATATAGGGAAATGGGAAAAACGAAAAAAGCTCACCTTACCAGATAGCTTCAGGTGTCCTTCATGTAATGAAAAAAACGCTATAGAGATATCTCAACACACCTGGCCGTTACACCTGGTTAAATGAAAATGGGTATTTAAATACCCGACAGTCCAATGTGGGTACACAAAATGTCTTTTTTTTCCTATATGGAAACATTTAATTTGCAGTGAATAAAACGCATAATTAAATAGAATTTTTTTTTATTTTACTGAGAAATTATTATATTTATAAGAAATAGATTACTTAGCCTTGGCAATCTTTTTCTTATCTGGTTCAACGCCGTTGTGGTAATCCAGAAAGCAAGGAGCGGGATGCAAGTTCACTTGGCACTTCAAGCAACCATATTCAGTTTTGCCACCGCATTGCGGACAACGATGACGAGTATTAAGTTTTCCGATGAAATGATCCATACGGTCGTAACGCATTGCCAGTTGTGCCCCGGAAGCCGACGTTCTACCCGGATGATGATAACTGGACTTGATCATAATCGATTCACACACCTCCACTCGAAATTCATATTGAGACATCGGTGGCTTCTTGTCATACTTGCGACAGAAGCAATGTAACTTCCATGCATTTACCATAGCCGCGTCAAACGCATTTGTTATTAATGGCCAATACCACTTTTTTCCCCGAATCCGAATTCGATAATTATTCATTGCATTGTCAAAAAGGTCCACACCTCCCATAAGATGATTGTATTCGTTGACCAAATACGGCTGCTAAATAGTAACCATTTTCCGTTGCTTTCGATCATACCGTTGCGCGCGGACCATTGGTGTATGGCTTAGGAAATTCGATAATAAGGTCACGACCTGAAAAGATAAGAATGAATGAAGAACACATCAACGATGGACGTAAAGATCAAAATGAACCGATAGTCAAATTGAAATGTTTCTTTGCACATATAACTTACCGCATTATCATTCCAACGCACCGCCAAAATAGAATTGTTCGTGTCGAAACGAAAGTCAGACGTCCCGCGAGGCTTCTTTTTCATTTCCTTGATGTTCATTAATGGGGCATGATTGGTCCGATTATCACGAACAGTTCCCAAAGCGAAGAATCCATCGTTCGACAAACGAGTCATAAGTTTGTGACTTGTAAAGAAGTTGTCAAAGGTAACCGTGTGCTTGGCGGTGGCCTCCAGATGTGAAAGAAGTGATAGCACAACACGTTCTCCCAGTCCGAAACCTGGGTCCTCCTGTTCTGATGCACCAGCGTATGGAAGTAGTTGATACAAGTAGCCTTCTGACGAAGCCAAACACCAATACTTGTACCCGAAACGAATTGGTTTTCCCTTGATGAACATTTTGCACGAATGTCGGCCGTAGTAGGCAATCATTTGTTCATCAATGGAAAGGTTGTGAGAGAAAACACCAAATTGAAGAAATTTTTTGTTCAATAAGTCATTCAATGGTGCGACTTTTGCAAATTTGTTTTTCATATCCAATGCTGAGTTGTCACACACGTGAAAGAACTGTTTGATTCGTTTGAATCTGTCTCTTGAAATACATTCTTTTATTAGGGCGCATCCTAATGATTCTCGATTTGACCAATAACTATGTATTTGCGGCAATGTATGGTAACCGGTTATATACAACACGCCCAAAAACGTTTTCATTTCGCTAATTGATGTTATGAACGAAGGACAATTTTTGGTCGCAGCATATTGTTGGTTGAAGTAACCAACAGGTTTAACACCTCCTCATCGATGAACATTTCCCAAAGCTGCACTGGATTCATGTCACCAATTTTCTCATACAACGCTTTGTGTGAAGTGGCCGAATCATCGAATGGAATCTTAGTGAATTGATAATTTTGCGACCGAGACCATTTTGGTTTCATGCCCTCTTCGATTCTGGGTCGCTTAGGTGGCTTACTTGATTTAAGCGTTGATTTGCGACCACGACCACTAGATGTCGAGGCCACCGGTGTATCATCTTCTTCTTCTTGTTCAAAATCGGGTTCATTTACGGTATCACCATCACAACCCGATGGCAAGTGCTCGTTGCTGTCATCGTAAACGCATTGAATTTCAAATTGCCCTGCAATCTCATGAGGCAGCTCCGGGTCATCGCGCAACAATTGAATATTGTCATCCAATTCCTCATTGTCACTCAGAACATCGGGTGGCGTTATGATAATATCAACGGCGTCTGCGTGTTGGACAAAGTTATCCTCTCCATCACTATCTCCATCAGACCAACTATCTAAAATAGCTTGCAGCTCGATAGCAGTGAGAACTTTCTGCCGACGAATCATTCTGAATCTTCTATAATATATTGAGACCTATATTTATAATTTTACATAAAATATAACGAAAAAAGATCATGTGTACTTACAATTGTTTATAATCAGCCAATTTATTTCTTATCACTTTTTTCTTGTTTATTTTACCTTTTTATATCACTATAAGTATTTTTTTTTACATGTGGGATGATGGTGCATAAAAAAACATTTGGCAAATGTCAATAATGCACAAAACGTCAAAACAATAGCCAATGGTGTTTTTTTGGAGTTATTTCAAAGTTAATGTTAATGCCTGTCGGGTATTTAAATACCCATGTCATATCTAAGGTGTGTTCGCATGTAAAAATTTTTTATTTTTTTCTATCAACTTCTATGGCCTCCCAGGCACATATTTAAAAATTTCATCAAAATCGTACCAGCGGGTCTATGGGCAGGCATTAATGGGTTAAAGATAATAGCTTGTACTTTCTAAATAATATAAATTTCTTTACCATTAATCATGCATCTTTTTTCAAAAAAGGTTATTTCATGAAAAAATAACATTTGTTCGCTTTTTGTAGTGGTTTTGGCTTTAATATATAAAAAAAAAATCAATCAAAAAAATTAATCGGTTGTGTGGTTCATAAGATATTAATAATTACCCTTCTAAAACGTCTTTATATTATACTTGCGCTAAATAATTTTGGCATGGTTGAAATGAGCGTAAAAAGTTCTATTGACCTGCTTTTTTCGTTTTTGCATAGCTGAGCGGTCGGTATCCTAGATTTGTTCCAGGAAATGACGAAAACTTAAATTAAAAATCTATATTTTTACGTTTTGTTTAGTATTTCCATTAAAACACCAAATATATAGCAAATTCACATAGAATTAATAAGAGGCATTTCATGTCACCGCGGCCACCTCTGTGCGCGACCACTCAGGATTTGGATGAAAGTTGAAGAGATTGAAGGTATTTTGCCGATATGACGTAGGGTTGCCTATTTACACGGAACTTAAATTTTAAGAAAACGTCATACATACCTTTTTTTGAAGTGCTGTATCTTGGAAACCTTTTAGCGAAACTTACTGAAAAGAAATGTATTTCTTCCGTCTTATTATAGGCTTTAATTGTACATTTTTTACATTAATGTACAACGCACAAAAAACAAAAGAATTAAGTAAACATTTTTATTTTTTATTTTTTTGATTACATCATTTAAAAATTTTTTATTTTTGCATTAAAACATTGTCTATAATGTCAACTTTAAGTACCCAAATGGGCGTAATGGGCTACTTATGCTTTTGGACTCTAAATCGTATAACGCTCGAGCAATATGATAAATAGACATTGAAATTTTATGAAATTTATATTTTTGAAAGAGGAAAGGTGTGTAAAAAACAAACACAATATGAATAAATCATATTAACTTTACTAAAAGTCTGAAATCATAAAAATCCCTTCAAGGAAATGGCAGAATTGAACATTGTCGCAAGTTCGCATGGGAAATCTGCTTACGACCTGATTGGAGGAAATTTTAAGAGACTAGCAGCTTGAGCAAGTCTTCAACTCCTGATGTTACAACAAATACGTACACCCGATGCCCTCTACCAATGGGGTGCTGTATGTTTCCAATGGGATGCCTGTAAAAAATAACTGCAACTACCCCTTCAGTGGACTTTATTTCGACTATGACTACTCGCCAATTACTTTAATCCTACTTTAAGCTAGTTTAAAAGGTTAAATAACATCAACTTAGGGAACTTCATATCCTTATTTAACGAATCTTTAAATCAATAAATAATTGTTTTCTTTTTAGTTCTTTTTGTAAAAAAGCGTGCTATTGGTTTTCTTTTAAGCTATAATTTTATTACTCATTAGGTTTATTTTTTTACACATCTTTCCTTTTTCTTGTTTTAATAAAAGGACTAACCTTGAAGCTATCATTGGACGTCTAATATTCTTTTGCAATGAAACCGCAACATCAACAATACTTATAGTAAAGTTAATATCATTTATTCATATTGTTTTTGTTTTTTACACACCTTTCCTTTTTCAAAAATATACAATTTCATAAAATTTCAATGTCTATTTATCATATTACTCGAGTGTTAGACGAGCTTGAATCCAAACGCATAAGTAGCCCATTTGGGTACTTAAAGTTTACATTATAAAAAATGTTTTTATGTAAAAATTAAAATTAAAAAAATGCTATAATCAAAAAAAATCAGAAAGTAAAATGTTTACTTATTTTGTTTTTTGTTTTTTATACGTTGCACATTAATGTAAAAAACGTACAATTAAAGCCTAAGTTCCGTGTAAATTGGCAACCCTACGTCATATCGGCAAAATATGCTACACGTATATTCATGTCACCTAGACTTTCAATCTCTTCAACTTTCATCCAAATCCTGAGTGGTCGCGCACAGAGGTGGCCGCGGTGACATGAAGTGTCTCATAATACACATTTTACTTCTAACTGTATACTTTGCGCACTTTTTTAGTACCTTTCTACTACCGTTTTCGTAAAAGGCGACCACATTCTTCCCCTTTCTCCTACATCCAAAATACAAATCTAGATAAAGGAGTGACAAATTTGAGCTGTCACAAATTACATAACCTTGTGTTATTGAATCATGGTACATATGTATGTAGTACAAACGAAAAAAATGTAATCAGCTCTAACAACACTGCACGTTTATACCAAAGCGAATTCAAATAAGGTAGTGTTATCGGAGCAGTTGAAATTTTGGTCTCGGTGTTTCTTAAAGAAAGCCATAAACTTGGTGATATTCTGCCCTAGATTACAAAGTTTGTGGGCCTGTAGAATGAAATTGTGTCTTGGTTCTATGAAAGATCAAACAATTTTGATTTTCAGGCAAGTTGTACAACTTGTCGCAACGCTAATGGCCATGTTGTACAATGTCATTCTATTTTACCTTGCTTTTATTAGCTCGGGATGTAACTATGTAATATTGATGCGCCTAAAAGATGCAGGGATTTCCATTCTCAAGTTACATACCTCGGGGGCTACTCTATAATGCGATGCGAAAAAGAAGTGCGATGCGATAGGCAGTCGCCACAACGTATTTCTTACGACGTATTTGGCTATCGCATCGCATTACAGAGTAGCTACCCTGATGACAGGATGAATGAGAATTGCTTTAAACTTCCATTCTTAAAGTAACCAGATGACAGTACGAATGGAAATTTTAATAGCGAGGTTTTAGATTTTTACACTATAATTTTATTTTGTTTATTTTCGTGATTACCACATAGCAAAAAACATTGTTAGGGTATTCACAGTTTACTTCTAAAGTTAAAAGGTGGCAACTTTAACAAGATAACACACTCGAACTGTGAGCAACCCTTATGTTTAAATAAAGTATTAAGTTGATCAACAATACCACGCTTTGCTAAACCGTTGGCCTTTCACGCGTTTGTGTTTAGAGAGCATCAACAAACCACATACATATTTCTCTCTATTCTGTCTTCTCTTTTTATACCTTTCATGAGCATGAAATGGTATTATAACTTTGGTCCCAAGGCGAATTTATACAAGGTGGTGTTGATGGCGAATTTAGATTTTCGCCGAGGTACGTCTTAATGTCAAAATGATGTGTTTGTTGTAAAATGAATTCGCCTTGTTTTCAACAAACACATCATTTTGACATTCAGTAGTACCGCGGCGAAAATTTAATTCGCCATCAACACCACCTTGTAAAAATTCGCCTTGTTTGGTTCGATGTTTGTAAGTACCAGAATAAGAAGAGATATACCCATTAAAATGTAACTTAAATAATCAGGACGGCGAGCTGAGTCTATTTAGCCATGTCTGTCTGTCTGTCTGTCTGTCTGTCTGTCCGTCTGTTTGTACGCAATCTAGTCTCTCAGTTTTCGAGATATCCGGATCAAATTTGGTAGGTGAGTGTATTTTTATAATGTATTAATCATTTGTCGGAACCGGAAGAATCGGACCACTATAACATATAGCTCCCATACAACTGATTGTTCAGATATGAGATTTTTCGTTATAACTTCTCCATTTATGCAGCTAGGAACATGAAATTTTGCAATACTTCCACCCATTATCAAAAGAAAACTTAGAGTGAAAGTTACAAAGATCGGGTTACTATAACATATAGCTCTAATACAACTGATTGTTCAGATATAA